ATTCAAACTGGTGAAAGAAATTACTGAAAAAAAAACTAAGTTTGAAATATTCACTGCTCAGATTCATTGGTGATCACTCGAATGCTCACAACGCAGCACGTTCGACGGGCGCTTATAATTGGATGCTCACTACAGTTATTCCAGCAACTTTGTGGCGTCAACGCTATCATGTATTCATCTCCTGCTGCTTCACTTTATTTCGGATCGATTAGCGATCACTCTTAGTTGAGATATGCAACTGTTCATTCCTGTAGTGTTATCGAAGTTGCATTCGATTGCTCAACGAGAAATTGCCTACCAGACTGTACTGAACCACATTAGAGTTCTGAACGGACAGATTCCTTTCGCTAGGCAGGGAAATTTGCTCACAAGCGCTAAGGCATATCTTCAAACTAGCTTCTGAGTGTCGGTCAGTTTCGGTCGCTGGCCACCGAAATCAGGTTTTCCATGACCTTCGATCGGTTAACTTCTTTCAATTTCGGTTGGTGGCTACCGATGCAACTCTACATCAGCTACAATAACATTCACTGTATGAGTACAGCTGAACAGGATGTTTTTAAGGTATTATACGGGAACGATCATTCAAATGGCTGGTGTTGAAGATCCGCATACCACTATCTGGCTATCGTCAGTGGTTGGCGGTCAGTCATAATGTTGCCCCACTTCATTTTTCTTATTACTACAGTTTTTCTAAAGTCAACTCAACAGCTTTCTTGAATGTTAATTCATGCGATTTTTATGATGATAATCCAGACTCTAGCATAATCCATTAGATTCAATTCATGATTAGTCGGTCGCATCGAATCTACGAAGGCATCCACGTTTAAGCACTCACCTCCGATCGAATTGCAGCCGTGTTTTTCTTGTGTACGTTTGTGCCGATGGCTTTGATCGAGCGTACTGGACGTCGTCTTCTGCTGTTGATCTCAGTGGCTGGTGTTGCATTATCGCTGATTCTTTTGGGCGTATCATTTCTGCTTGTCAACATCGATTCCATGCAAACATACAACCATCTCGATGCTAACTCATCGATACCATTCATTAAATCATGCTCTCTTTATAGGTTTCGTCCTCAACTTTAATCATTTACTGACTTTTAACAGCTTAGATAATGCTGACCTTGTATTGTTCCATCTAATCTTATAATATTTCCCAACTAATCAGTGAATTCAATCGATTTACGTTTAGATCAATTCAATGCTAATATGTGATCTTTTTCATGAATCGACACTGATTCATGAATCCAGTTTCTTTTTACATGAAGTGAAACTCGCTGACTGATCCACACTTAAATATCATTTTGATATCCTCATAGATGCTTCGAAATTATGGATGTTTGATATTTTTCCGATTAAAAGAAAAATGAGGGAATTTTCATGTTCCACCGGATGAATATGAGGAAACGCAAACAAATCAGCCATGATTGTTGTTGTGTGTTTTCAGCAATTGCGATTATTGTGTCACTGATGAACATTGTGGATTTTGCTTCTCGAAGAATGTATCACATTCTAGGTTCGTGCAGTTNGAGCGCAACAAATCGCCAGATCCCCTATATCTCTGTGATTGTGATGCTTTTCCTATTGACAACGAACGTGAACTGTGTAATGAAAACATGACAATTTCTAATAGTCACCCATCCGTTTCACCTGTCTCACCTGTTCGATTCTCAGCCTTTTTCTCTTAAACCTAAGTATAAGCAGAAGATAATGTTCATGAATAACTGTAATAGTGATCCTGAATCTAACTTAAAGTAAGTCTAGGTCTAACTCAAACGAACAAGGCTAAAATTCAGGCCTTTGAGACTGGTGAAATGGGCAATTTTGAGGTATTGCTTAAAAATATGAACATAATCACAGTATGTGTGTACCGGTGAACATAGATGATATTCACGTGTCAACAGCAGGACCGTGTCAGACGACGTCCTCTCAAACGAACAATTCACTCATATTTCATAGTGAATTTTGTGAAACCAAATATACGGTGATGCCGATCGTTTTCATGGTTGTTTACATCGCATTCTTTGCCGTTGGTTAGTCGTTCGTTGACGGATTACGAGGGCAAAGAGAGAAGTATCGAGAACTATTCTCGATCATTACATTTGACCATCATTCAATAGCCAATTCTGATGAATTTCTTATGTGAATGCTTCAAGAACTGATAAAAACGTTGTCTGCGGAACGTCGATTCCGGACAATTGATTCCAGTATAAGTGTCCCATCACAAATGCTCTATCGCTGACAAGGTGGAATTTCGATTCGTCTTCAGTGGGAAACTCTTCTAAGCAGGGACCCTCTTAGGTGGAAGCATCAGCTGAAGGAAGATTTTCGTATAATGTTGGCTTCCCTGCAAGTGAATATTTGAATATTTCTCAGCAACTTTCCGAATGTTGTTCAGGATTCGCTCCGCTCGCATGGGCGCTAAATGCCGAATTCTATCCACTTTGGGCCAGAAGTACGGGATGTGCTCTATCGACATTCACAAACTGGATATTCTCATTGGTCATATCGCTGACGTTCCTGAGTCTCGGACAGGCAATCACCAAATATGGTTAAATCGATTTGCTTTCTGTATTATTCATTCGTTTAACTCAGGGATTATCATCCCAAATGGTAGTGGCCATTAGTGGCCTAAAACGATATGTAAGTGGACGGAAAAGTCGGTTGCCGAATGAAGTTGGCTGCGTTCTCATAGTGGTCGATTTTGTGATTCATGTTTAAAGCAAATCAAAAAGCGCCCACTACCACAGTGACAAAAATGAACCATAGATTTCAGGTGTTTTCTTCCTGTATGGCGGTATTACAGTGCTCGCGTTCATTTTCGTGTTCTTCTGCATTCCCGAAACAACCGGAATAAGCATCGAAGAGGTGGAGATGCTGTTTATGTCGAAACATAAGCGTCGAGAAACTGCGCAGTCGAGACGAATGACCGACGTTAGCGCTGTAATCAGAAAAACGAAGGAAGAAACAATTGTTCACTGAATTCATTCAAATTTCACTGAATTCATTATTAATAGCGAAATTTCACGACTTGCATCGTAAAATAGTCGATTTTGATTACTGTTTCTTATTATTATCTTCAATGAGATGGTTTTTATTCATTGTTATTGGATTGCTGAATTGAATGACGACGTGTTCTATGAAGATTCATGATTGCTGTAACAAATGTTTGTTTGCGACATTTCTTCGCAATGGCATCCATCGTTTATTAATGTGCATCTGCTCATGCGACTGTGAGAAATTAAACAAATATACGACAAGTTTCTGTCTGGTTGCAAATGTTTATCTATTCAAGTTTATATTGTAATCCTCTACTGATTGCAATCTGCAAGTGTCTTGTACCACAATCTTCTTTGTATTTCTTCTATACGATTACTATGTAAATGGGACACTATGGCATCACGATCATTTTGTGATTTCACACAACTGTTTTCAATTTGTCTCATTCTGCATTGTCAGCTATTCCTTATTCTAAAAAGCTGGCTATCACTACCTTTGCATATTCAATAACACTCTTCTCACAAATTCAATTGCATCTCCGGGTGATTGAGAAGCCAGCACATGAAATGTCACATTTGAAAAACTCGCTTCATTTCATTTCGAATCTTAAATAATCATGTACGATCATTTCATACAAAATTAGAATAACAACTCCGACAGCTATACAACATTTTCAAAGGAATCGCGTTAAGTTAAATACAGTTTAAGTTAAATACAGTTTCAATTCAAATGTCGCCAATCTTCACATCTAACTCAATGGATAAAGACCCGCTTCAAAGACGTCTCCATATTCAGCAAAGTACCGCACTGATCGAATGGATAAAACCAGTTATTTTACGATATATTTCGGGTGAATTCCAAGCGATAGCAGCACATCCGGATGCATCTGAAATAACACAACAATTTCATCTCGTTATTGACCAGCAATCAGGTTTCC